GCCACAATTTAATAAAGAAGTCAGCCTGCTATCCATTGATGTGATAATCCATCATCATTGTTCTCAGCAACTGATATATTTATGGCTTCTTTTTTTTAATACATATTTGCACAGCAAGGTCAAAAAGACAGTTCATCAAGATATGATGATACGTTTTTTCCTTTGTTACCCTTTAAAGATAAATTCTTTATAGTTTACATGAGAAGAATGAAAAATGGTGGAAAGAATTTGATGGTTTTACTGGTTTTAATGGGTTAGCAGAGAAGCATAACCCAAAAGCATGAAGAAGATGAAGGCCTTTAATTATGACTTTAAATGTTTTTTTCCCCATAAAAGTGTGCAGTCTATACCATGTGATATCAATGTGGACTGTGAACTGCAGTGCTCTAGGTTTACTTCTAGAGAACAATAGCTATCTAGACAAATATATTCAACCTACAGCTGATCAACGTCCCTTGTGCAGTGACCAATAGTTGGATTGGTAAATTGTAGTCTGGGGGTTCTTAAAAGATATATGTGTTAATACAGGGCTCAGATAAGATAATTTTCATTAGCGCTCAAAACAAAATAACCAATTAAAAAACAGTTACAAGGTTGTGTGTGCTTGGTTTCTTTAGTTTCAGTATGAAATACCTGTAGTACATGACCCCACATCTGTAATAAAATCAATGCATTTTATGTTGTCTGATGTTGGAAAAAAGCTGTCATTTTGTTTTAGCCTTTTTCCTCAAATGCCATTTTTTCTGAAACAATGAGACGAACAGCAAAGTGGCCTGAGAATAAGAGTTGATCTGAGTGACGGAGGAGAGAGTCTTTTAAGTGTGGTAAATTATAATAAAAAGTTTCTAGGTTAATTGATAACAATTGTTGAAGCCAGTGCTCACATCTCGAAGGTTGTGAGAAGCCCTCCTGCTGGTCAAGCAACCTGTGAATTTAGCATGCGGAGACTACTTCTGAGGGAGGTCACACTCAATGCCTGGTGGGGTTCTTCTGGAGTTTCCCTGCTCTGTGGTTGGAAGGATCTCTATGTAAACAATGGTGAAAGAGCTATGCCTTAAAAGGTGGGTTGTGGGGGTAGAAAATTCTATCTCCCTTCCTGGGCACCTTACTACCCCTACAATGCAGCCTTTAATGAAAAGCTCTTTCACCAATAAAGCAACATAAATGTTAAACTTTTTAGGTCATCTAAAGCAGTGTTTCTCAATCTATTTTCAGTCAAGGCACCTTTGAAATTATGGACAGTCGTGAGGCACCCTTTAAAATTATGGACAGTCTTGAGGCACCCCATTCTAAAATGGGGTGCCTCAAGACTGTCCATAATTTTAAAAGGGCACCCCATTCTAAAATATGAAAAACTATTCTAATAGTATTATATAATGTAGCAACATCCACACATGTAGGACACCCAATGTCAGAGGTGATTTATTCTTCCAAAGCAAATACACCTTTGCCCACTGGTACTGAGTAGTATTCCAGTGTTTCTCCTCTCCCTCAGTTTTTTTCCATCACTGAGATAATGTGACCCCAGCACTGATGGAGAGGGGCAGGGGAGGGTCAAACAAGGATGCTGTGCAGGCAGCTGACATCCTCCTTATCAACTGATGATGTCATTGATTGTCAGGACACCAGCAGCTAGAAGGTCATAATGGTGCACAATGAAAACCTGTGACTTTGTGTAACTAAAAGGCAGGCTTGTTCCACCTGCTGGTTTGTATACAAGTTTTGGAAATTTTTTAGACATTTTTCCAAGGCACCCCTAAAGAAACCTCAAGGCACCCCAGGGTGAGAAAGGCTGCTCTAAAGGCATGGACACATGAACATTACTTCATTTACAAATGCAAACTTTATAAAGCATTTGGCATAGTGGCCTTTTAAATGGGCTAATGGCCATTCAGTAATTCTGCATAGAACAGCAATATATCTAATATTTTATAGAGAAATATATTTGTTGCTTTTAGTTTGTATTATGCAGGTATACTAATTATGCAGTTTTCTAGCTCATGAGACAATGTAGCACTTTAAAAAATAAATGCAGACATTTCAGTATCATTGCTGTTGGGTATTATTGCTCAGTATGTGGAATGTTATACTGTGTGCGATTAGCTGGCACTGCATTGTACATCAATTGGGGCCAGATGTCTTCTACCGTGAAAGGAGTTAAGTGTTGCAGCACAGCCTATAAAGAGAACATTTTTATGCTTGTCCAATTACACCTGTTCAACAGCCAGAATTACATCCTAGCATTTTCTGTCATTTATTATTTACCAGGTACCGTTTTATATATTCTAAGGGCTGGATGAACTGCGGAGTATTAACACATTTTGTGCTAGGCATGTACCTTGAACTCTGGTCTCAGTCACGATTGCCTTGAGAGCAGTACGAGTCCCAGAAGGTTCCCTCAGGCAGCCTGTCACAGAAATGCTGCCTTTGCACTTCCAAATCACAGCCCTTTGGCCCTGGTATGAGCTTCAGTATTTTTCACAAGGCTTCAAAATTTGGTTATGTGCCTGGAAACCTCAAAGCTATTGCTTTTCTTAAGATGCCTTTATTACAGTACGGGAGTTGCCTCAGGCTCTGTCTGTGCTATATATATATTCTTTTGTCAGAAATTAAAGGAAGCCTGCACCATATGACTGAATTCAAACTCATTTCATTGTAACTGAGAAGTTGTTTCAAGACAAACACATTTAATATTTTAAATGGATGGAAAATATGGGTGAGCAGGCAAGTTAACATCAGGGACCCCCCATTGCTGAGAAGATGGCTTTAAGGTTCCGTAAACATATGTACTAAATGGAAGCACTAAGTCTAAGCTCCTGGTGCCTGCACTTACTGAAAATGAATGAAGCATCTGTGTTTAAAGAAGAAATATCATTTTTTATTACAGTGTGCTGTTCCCCAGGTACATATAGTACTTTGTACCATTTTCCTATGTGCTGTGGAAGAATGGTTACATGGTCGAACAGGACCCCTCTCCATCCCCCACAGCCATCTAACAATACAGAACCAGCAAACACAAATGCTCCTGCGCTTGGGGATGGACTCGATGCAGGCTACAACCACATTAAGAATGTCCTGGAACATGCACACCTTGCTGCCCTCAAATGGACCGGGGGAATCCAAATATACTGAATGGGGAAAGAACAAAGAGAGAGCGCACAGGCCTACTGCATTACCATAAAAAATGTTTAATAAAAAATAAAGTAGGTGTTGTACTCACACAACGACAATATAGTCAAGGCACATCATAAAGAACAGCTGGGTCAACACCGCGCTGAGTAACAGTCCGCAATAGGGAGTTTAGACATCCAAAAGGCTGACGCGTTTCGAGGACTTGCCTCTTCCTCAGAGCCCTGTGAGTACAACACCTACTTTATTTTTTATTAAACATTTTTTATGGTAATGCACTAGGCCTGTGCGCCCTCTCTTTGTTCTTTCCCCATCTAACAATACAGCTAGCAACGAAATGGCGGCTTTGGTAACTGGTGCTTATCTCTATCTATACTTTCCCAAGACAAGCGCCAGCAAGAGAAATGCAGAGGTAAAGGAGACTGATACACCCCAACTCCTTCTGCATTACTCTGGCCAATGCTTGCCTCAGAAAAGTGTTTGGATAAGTAGTGGATATCAATGCAGCTGTCTCCTTGCTAGCTGCATTGTTGGATGGCCATAGGGACAGGAGGCATATCCTGTCCAACCATGTAGCTAGTCTTCCACACCACAAAGGCAAATGGGACAAAGTACTACACGTACTTTCTTTCATAGCAGCCATTCTCATCCAGGGTTCTTTGGAACTCCAGGGGTATAACATAGGTTTCTTCAGAAGTGAGCAACAGAGAATTAATATCTCACCTGCAATGAGCCCCAATATAAAGGGGCACTTCTACAATGACCATTAATGTGAGCCAGAATTTCATTGTCTGCAGTTTTTTTATAATTTATTAATTCCATTTTATGATTAATACTGAAAAAGATGTTGTTGTATAGAGCAGGGGTGTCTACCATGGGTATCTAATATGACAAGAACACCACATTATTTATTTTTTAAAGTAGTTGTAATGGCAGAAGGTTTTTTACCTTCATACATGAAGGTAAAAAGCCTTCTGCAGGCAGCTTGCCCCAGCCCCACTTATTCTTACCCAAGCCTGATCTCAGTCCAGCGATGTACACTCTCCTCTCTCTTATTCCTCTTTGGCTTAGATTCATATATGTCTGATATGTCAATCACAGCCAGTGAGGAGAAAGCGGGAGTGGGTTGAAAAGTGCTCTGTGTGTCTTATGGACACACAGGGCTGGCTCGGGACCAAGCCTGCACGGGACACTTGCCGAGGAGGCACTCAGCAGAGGGGAAGGACCCGGGGCGCAGGCGGGGGACCTGAGAAGAGAAGGATCAAGGCTGCTCTGTCTGACACCATTGAACAGAGCGGGTAAGTATAACATGTTTGGTATTTTAAGGAGAAAAAAATCTGAATATTTAGAATCACTTTAATTCACTTACTTTCTACAATTTATTATCACGCTAATGTACCATGAGCTATATTTATAATCATTTTTAGCAGAGGGTTCCCTGGGACCTGAAAATTAAGGATTCTTCTGCTTTGCCCAGGAAAACATATAAAAGCCATGTCAGTGCATAAAATGTGTGAAATGTGTGAAAATGTGTGCTGAATAAAATAAAGAAAGGAAATAAGGACGGAGTATATTGAGAGCTAGCGCATTTACCGTATTTTTCGCTCCATAAGACGCACCTGACCATAAGACGCACCTAGGTTTTAGAGGTGAAAAACAAGAAAAAAAAATATTCTGAACCAATGGACTGCAGACATAGTACAGGGGATGCCAGAGACTGCGGACACAGTACAGGAGATGACCAGAGACTGCAGACATAGTACAGGAGATGACCAGAGACTGCGGACAAAGTACAGGGGATGACCAAGAGACTGCGGACACAGTACAGGAGATGACCAGAGACTGCGGACACAGTACAGGAGATGACCAGAGACTGCAGAAACAGTACAGGAGATGACCAGAGACTGCGGACACAGTACAGGAGATGACCAGGGACTGCGGACACAGTGCAGGAGATGGTCAGAGACTGCAGACACAGTACAGGGGATGACCAGAGACTGCGGACACAGTGCAGGAGATGACCAGAGACTGCGGACACAGTGCAGGAGATGACCAGAGACTGCGGACACAGTGCAGGGAATGACCAGAGACTGCGGACAGTGCAGGGGATGACCAGAGACTGCGGACACAGTGCAGGGAATGACCAGAGACTGCGGACAGTACAGGGAATGACCAGAGACTGCGGACAGTGCAGGGAATGACCAGAGACTGCGGACAGTGCAGGGAATGACCAGAGACTGCGGACAGTGCAGGGAATGACCAGAGACTGCGGACAGTGCAGGGAATGACCAGAGACTGCAGACAGTACAGGGGATGACCAGAGACTGCTGACCTTTGGGGAGGGAGGGGGAGCGGGTACCTGAATTTGACAGGTACCCGCTCCCACTTCCGCGGAGTTGCCTTCCCTCTTCTTCCCGGGCCGGCTTCTGTGACAGCCGGGTGCCCACTGCGCAGGTGCAAGAAGCGCTTCGCTTTGTGAATGGCCCGGCGCCTTCTGTGACCTTTCATGTGTCCCAGAAGACACCGGATCATTCACAAAGCGCAGCACATGCGCAGTGGGCACCCGGCTGTCACAGAAGCCAGCGCGGGAAGACTGTGCAGCGCTGGAGCGAGGAACAGGTAAGGCCCTGCAGGAGAGAACAGCTGAGCGGCCGGCCCGGTATTCTGACATGGTGGCGGCAGAAATACCGGACCGGCCGCTTTACATTCGCGCCCATAAGACGCACTGACATTTTCCCCCCTTTTTGGGGGGAAAAAAAGTGCGTCTTATGGTGCGAAAAATACGGTATATGGAAACGGTATAAATGGATACGTTTCTACATAACAAAGTCTCTTAGATTGTAAGCTCCAAGGAGCAGGGCCCTCCTAACCCTCTTGTATTGAACTGTATTATTGTAAAACACTGAGCAAACTGTTGGCGCTATATAAATCCTGTATAACAATAATAATAGTACTGTGCAATCCAGTACCAGAGGTTCATATTGGACACAGCAGTGACATCCCAAAAATCTAACAAGTTTAATGATGGACAGCACACACTTCATCCTTCTGCCCCAGGTCTGTCCTTTAACGCGTTTCACTCATCTAGGGTTTAATCAGACATTGGACAAGTTAGAGGGGCAGACCTAAGGTGGAAGGATGCAGTGTGTGCTGTACATCATTAAACTTAGATTGTTGTGAAGGTGTCACTGGTGTTCGACCCTTTAATTGAAGCTAAGTTGATAACTTTAGAATTTAATAATTTTGCATATTTTCAGTGTTATAAACTGTTGAACTTGAGCTGTTTGAGTTATATGTTAAAGCCCTTCTCTGAGGAAAGTAAAATTCCTACCTTGCAGTGGGGCTGCCCCTGCACTACAAGGGTGAAATGCTTGTTTAGGTCTAAGGTGCAGCAAAAAGAAGTTCTATTTCTCTATCCACCTTTCCCGTAGTCTCCCTTCTGGAAAACTGGTCATCACAGCATATTCTCCCCAAGTGAACTATTCCTTGGTGTCCTCACATCCAATGCAGGGCTGTGAGCTCTGCACTGGACTTGATGAAGGCAAAGAAAAGGAGAGAAAAGGCAGCAGGTTTTGCAGCCTGGAAGGAGGATAGAGTCAGAAGAACTGTTTTTTGCAGTCCACTAGACCTAATCAAGCATTTAACCTTTGCAATGTGGGGGCAGCCCTACTGCAAGAGAAGACTTTTACTCTTCTCGGAGAAGAGCTTTAATCGCACAACTCAAATAACTCAAGTTCAACAGTTTTATTACACAGAAAATCTGTAAGTGTAAAATATTAAGGCTACTTTCACACTGATCCACCGCAAAAACACAGCAAAAATGCATTTTTTTTAAAAGGACACGTGACTTAACAATCACACCAAAACCGCTTCTCAGAGGCGTTTTTGAGGCACTTTTTAGGCATTTTGCATTGATTTCAATGGGAAGAGGTGTTTTGGGGGCTTTTTTTTACTACTCACTAAACATGCCGCAAAGATGCTGCAAGGAGGAGTTTTTACACCGCACCGCAAGTGAAATGTCTTAGTGTGAAAACATACATAGATATACATTCAAATACATAGGGAAGTATTTTTCTTGAGCTTTTCAGGTGCTTTTTTTAACGCAAAAACACTTCAAAATCTCCTCAATGTAAAAGTAGCCTTAATCAACTCTAAAATTAGCAACTTTATCAACATACTGTATGGATAACCCTTGCAGCACAGGGATAATCACACTGGAAGAGAGCATCTTTCATTTCTCTTGAGTTCAACTTTAATAGAAGTAAGGATATTTATAGAGAACTTAGCTAAGGAAAATACAAGGACAAGTTTGATTTTGCTGCTGTAGACTACAAAAAGGAATGAATCAGCTAATATTTAGTCACCAGGAAAAACAAAAGAAAACATTTACTATCTTTCTGTCAAAATTAGGCAAAGAGAGCCCTCTACTTGGCAAAAAAAAACTGTGTTAGCCTTCATAATACAATAGGGTTGATTTACTAAAGGCTGTTAACTTTACAAGAGGACTTTCCCTTAGTTTAGTGAATGAGGTAAAGCTATGCTGACTATCAATACCCAATGGCAAAAATACTGTTTTTTTTATTTTTTAGTACAAACAATTATATCTTACATTTGATGGGATTTTTAAGGCAACCTTGAATTGCACAAGAGAGATCACTTTTCTTTAAAAAAGAGAATCAGCATTTTATTTTTATACATGTCATTAAAAGTTTGTTTTTTTCTGATCAGTGCATACAAAATGATCATTACAAATTGTCAAATATATTGCACAACATTTCAGACTACTCATTTTTTATTCCTTGCGTGTAATTGTGTATGTAATGGCATTTCTTGCAAACTGAAATTTAACCACATTCATTAAGTTATGGGAATATTATCTTACAAAGTGAATAGTCTATTTACCTTTAGTAAATCAACCCATAATGCGTTTCTTGGGACAGTTACTGTCACAAGTAGGATCCTGCAGTACATATTATTATAGTTATTGGTTAAGAATATCTTTAGCTTGCTTACGGAGACATGGCTTGGACTGGCTAACATGGTCGTCAAGGTGCTCTAACTTAGATATAGGCAGGCCTCTTCATGGAATCTTTCTGCTTTATTACACACACAACGATGAGACATCTGCTTCCAAGTTTGAAGACTAATTTACTTTATAGCGAGGGTCAGCAACCTGTAGATCGCAATCTATGAGTATATTACAGCCAGGTGACTGGTAGATCACAGACTTGGCTTGCTGACCCAGCCATCCCAGAGCATCAAAGGGCAATGCAGAGGGACTACTTGTAAAGTTGGAGCTGTAGTAGGGAGCAAGAGCCGCATAAGTTTGCCTCCCCTGCAGTGCTGGTTCCGGTCCCATGCATGGTGAAACCAACTGCACTCCACCTCTTATCCAGGCTAGCAGTCTCCAGAGTGGTGCCAGCAGCAGGAAAGAAGAGATCTTCAGGTCAGTGTGAAGAATTACACTGGACATAATAGTGTAGGGCTGCTTTCACACTGATACTGCGGTTTTTGCCCACACCGAGGGTGCAGTGTAGTGTACCTGTGGGTTTGCTGCGCTTAGCCATAGACTTCTGATATATCCTGCAGGGGTAGTTCTGAATGCAGGAGTTTTGGCACTCTTTCAGAAGGTGCACCACACCTGCAGGATATAATGGGAGTCTATGGCAGAGTGCACCTAACCCAGGAAAGTCGCAGATGCACTGCGCTTAACTGGTGCAGATAAACCGCAGCACATTAGTGGGAAAGCAGCCTTATAAGGGGCTCAGAACAGTAAGGGTTCAGTTACATTTGCAGTCTGGGGGCATAGTTTAGATGTGCTTTTACTACTCCGGTCCTAACTGTACCACCTTTAGCTGCAATCACCTGGGGCATACACATGACGCAGCCACAGCAGGAGTTATATGCCCTGTCATGGTTGGTGGATGTAGCACCTGCCAAGCATGGCCTATTCAAGTGAATGAGGCAAGTGTCCTGCAACCTTGTACAATACAGCAAACAAAGGGTTAAAGCAAGCAGCATTGTGTTGCTTTCTCACCACCACTGCTTTAACCCCTTAGACCCCATAGAAGCATGCAGTTGTGGGGCGCTTGCAGAATGGTCCCCATTTACTTGAATGGGTTGCGATTGGCAGGAAGTAGCACCTACCAAAATCAACAGGGGGTTTAATTCCTGCTGCGGCATGTGTACACCTTTGGTTGCTGCCTCAGCAGCTAAAGGGGATAGGGATTGGGGGCAACTCAACTGCAGGGTTTTACCACCCCCCAACTTTACTTGTGAACGAGCCCTAAGGGTGCCACTGCCGAATGCGTCTAAGGGCTCATTCACAAGTGAATCAGGCACTGCTGCTCCTCTGAAAAGCGATCCTAGTGTGTTTGACAGGTGATGAGGAGGTGATAAATTGCCTCCTCACCACCTGAATTAAACCCATGATTGCCGTGCACTGCACGAGATTGCAACACGGTAGTATGACAATTAGAGTTTTAAATCAGGTTTGAGGAGGTGACACTCTTAGTAATCTTTGACTTCTCCTATGTTGTTCAGGTAGATCTCCACCTCTTTAAGGTTGCCTACCCCTGTTTTATTGGGATATAATAAAAGCTTGAAGAGAGTTGCAAAGAATATCTCACTATGTATCGAAATGCCTACCAATTCAGGATAATCCATCATTTCCACAGAGTAGAGATTGCACAGCTCTTCAAACCTGGAAGCAGAATGGGTGGATTATGACACAAAAATTGTACCATACTAATTCTTACACATTAAAGTCTTGAAACTGTTTCTGTGGCATTTAACATATCAAGTCAGCATTATCTCTACTACTTACAAATATCTAGTTATCTAGGATCCTGTTGTAGTGATATGCTCTATGTATTCAAGCCAACCTTTTTGGATAGATTAATAGGAAACTGTGTCTATGCCAGCAATGGGCAAACTACGGCCCGGTGGACCTTTTAATCCAGCCCGCGGAGCTAGGCTCCCGCTAGGCTCCGCTCACAGTCCCTGAAGACCGGTGTAGCATGAAAATCTGTCTCCTATGAGGATCTGTCCCCCTCGACGTATCTGCGCATGTGCCAGAGATCGCCGATCGGCTGCTAATGCCTGAAACTGGCACATGCGCAGATACGTCGAGGGGGACAGATCCTCATAGGAGACAGATTTTCATGCTACACCGAACGGCGCGGGAACACGGCGAGAGGAACGCGCGGAACAAAGGTAAGTGAATTGACACAGGGGGGGACTTGGGGACTTAATATGGGGGATGAATTAATATGGGGAATGAATTACTATAGGGGGGGATGAATTACTATATGGGGGATGAAT